CAGGAGTTCCAGAAAGGCAAGTAAGTTGGACTTTTAGGGCTGCCAATCCCTAGCACTTACTCTGTGCTACTCATCTGAGGCAGAATCTCATCAGTTTATTCCATCACTTAATGTTTGCACTCATTGCTGTCTCACTTTCCATTTATTTAGGAAATGGATATTAATATGAGCATCTGCAAAATTAACCAGGTAGTTTGTCTGGTGCTAGAGAGACAAAGCTAAACTAACTAGTGAAGTTCCTGCCCTCACACAGCTCGCAGAGGCACCGGGAGGCTGGGAATGCACAGCCCCAGAAAATGTTACCAACAGTCATGAGTGCTTCTCGCTTTTAAAGTTCAGAGCACTTCAAAGCATCTAACTGACAACATCCTCCGGTCTGGGTGTCTTAGGAAGGACCTTTGAATACCAAGTATTTAAGATGAAGTCTGAACAATTGTCCTTTGGAAAGAAGGAGAACAGAGACTATGTTTCTAGGAACATCCTGTTCCAGGGAAGACCTTGATTTCTCAGGTCCTACTGGTAGAAAGCTGTGTGCAGGAGCCTAGAACCTAGATGGTCAGCTGCTTCTAGAGGATGCATTGGTTATGGTTTAAAAGCTCATGTGTGAGACAATGCAAAAAAGTTCCAAGGTTAAATGATTAGATAAAGAATTGTAACCCAATCGGTGGCTACCTATATAGGTTAACTGGATGGTAAGTGAAGGCAGGTAGGGTGGGGCTGGAGGAAGTACATGGGGGGGGCTTCCCTTTGGGGTTTTAAAGCTCTCTCTGCTTCCCAATTGCCATGTCCTGAGCCGCTCCCGTCTGCCACCCTTCTGCTGTGAGTTTCTGCCTGTCCTGTAGCAACCACTCAACGGCTGCAGCAGGAAAGCAGCCCATAAGTAATACCGACCCAAACAGACATAGCTGTGTGCCAATAAAACTTTATGTACTGAAGCAGAGAGCAGGTCACCTTTGACCCTGTGGCTAGAGTTTTCAGACACTATACAGGACTTCTCTGGTTCCCTCAGATATCTTAATACAGAGTTGGGCCTACAGGGGTAACTGTTGAAATTAGGAACAAAGGATGAAACCTGGTCCCTGGTCTTTTAGGGTTTCCAATGTAAAAAAAAAAAAAAAAAAAGCAAATGTGAACATGCTATATAGAAACACAGAGCAGATAAGGTGCATCAAAACTCAAAGCGAACGTCCCACCTGCCATCTCTCATAACCCACCCAAGCCATGTGTGCCTTCTGTAGAGGAGGGACACTGCACCGCCAAAAGCCAGAGGTAAGAAAGCCCTGGAGCTAAGGATGCAAGACCCGGAGGGGAAGGGGGCAGGGGATGGGGGCTGCTCCAGGCCTAGGTGTCTGCAGGGCAGCCAGTGCCTCCCTCTCACCCCCTGCCACTCTGCTGTCCTTGGCAGTCTGCACTCTGCTCCCTCCGGCCACTCCTGGCTGGTTTTCCTATTAAAAAGAGCAGTTTGGGCAGCCCTTGCCCTTCAGCATCTCAGAAAAACAAAGGCAGGCAAACCAAGTCTTCTTATTAGTTGTTATAGCAACACACAAACCACCGCAGGGGCCTGGAGAAGCCACGGGAGCTCCTTCCAAAGCTCAGGCTACACCTCCCCTTCCCGACTGCATCTCCCCAACAACATCGCTTTGTACCTGGGTGTTCCTACGGCTCCTGCGCGTTCCCCCTCGAAGCCTCTAATCCAGTCCTCTGGCTCAGCTCTTCTTTCCGGCTTCCCACAGGTGTCCTGAGTGGAAACACCTGCTGATTGGAGGCTTCTCGAACCTGCGGGCACTCCCCATTTCCCCATGTCAACTCGGGGCTCCCAAAATGGGATTTTACATCATTTACCACCTGTGCTGGAATTACCTGGAGATGCTGACTGAAGAATGTAGCTTTGAGGGCTCCACCTCAGATCTATGGAGTGTCTTTTGCCAATATTTAAGAACTGTTAGCTTAGAGTGCAGAACAGAGCTGATGGCACCTCATTCAGCCCAGAACTGGGTAAATGGTTATCAGGTGGGGTTCTTTCTGCCTTGGCTGAATCCAATCAGAGGAGATTGATCCACGAGTGTGTGTTGATTTCAGCCAGGGGTTAACTTTCACACCTCCGTTCAATTGTTAACCAACAGAACCTGAAACCTCAATATGAAAGGGAACTATCAAGTTTGCTCTCATAATGGAAATCTAAAAATGGACATAGATGTAGTGGGACTAAAAGTTGGTATAGTATCTCCCCGCAACGTAGAATGTCCCACAGAGAAATAGCAAAATGTCCCTTTCTAGAAATGTATGTTCCTTTAAGTTGTTTGCTTCCTGAGCAATCAGCTGAAGCCTCTGAGCCCAGGGATGAGGCCCAGCAGTGAAGACCTGCACACCAATTCTGGGTGGTGTGCAAGAGTACTGCACGTGAAACATTTCAGAAACACACCATCTTACTGTAGACACCAGCTAAAAAATGGCTGCATTCTTGTGCCTTCAGCTGGGGAAAAAGTCTATCACCGGGCTAAGCATGCAAAGGAGAAGATAAAAGTTCCCATTTCCCACTTCACCCTCCAATATGACTCCCAATGCCGCATGGCCCACACATAATTGAAATATCAGCACTGTGTACGAAGGATCCCGTAGTTCAGCCTGCAAACTCCAGGGTCTTGGTAGCACCGGCATGAGTGCCTTGGAATTTGGTTTAACTCATGAGCAAGTTCACTGCAGCTAAAGAAAGCTGCCCCTTTCTGACACTTGCACACTCATTGCTTGTGTTAGAGATTCAGAAAGTCAAAAATCAAAACCACTTCACATCCCCACTCCCCTAACGTAAGAACAGATATTAAAGTGCTTAATTTCCCATGTTTCTGCTTGGAGATCCACAACTTATCAAAGGTGGTATTAAGGGGTCTTATTATCTAGGGCAGGTGCAGCGGGTGACACCGACAGTCTGCATTAATCAAGCCTGCCACTTCCGTTTGTGAATAAAGCTTTACCAGAGCAGCCACGCCTGCCTGCCTATGCACCCTGTGTGGCTGCTTTTGCCTCCAAGGCAGGGGAGACCCTACAATGTACAAAGACCAAAACATTGACACAGACCCTCTGTGGAAAAAGCCTGCTCTTGCTGAAGACAGCCTCTTTTAGGAGGTTCCAGAGTGGGCTCAGGAACCCAACTGCCTAGATTCAAAAGTGAGCCTCACCCTCCACAAGCAGAAGGTCTTGGGTGTAGGAATGAAGACGTTTAGACTTTTTGCTGCTCAGTCTCCACTTCCATAAAAAAAAAAAGATAATAGCTATACTTACTTCATGGAGCCATTGCAGGAATGAAATAAGAAAATACAACTAAAACACTCAGAATTATGCTCAGTGATAAATTAAAAAATTAAGACAAACTAACAGAACTCTCTCTTCTTTCTACGTGTTTTTTTTCCCCCCTAAATGCCCAGAAAGAGCTCCTGGCTTGCAGTTAACTACATGCAGCAACATTTCTCTGCCCACTCATTAGCCTGAGACTTGCTTCAGCAATTTTGACTTCATTAAAATTATAATTATTTCTTTAATTCCATTCCCTTTATCTGCTTCAACTTAATCTCCCTTTTGGCTGCCAAGGCCCTGGGAATCAGAGAGAATGTCTTAGGAGACAGTCTTAGAAAGAAAAAGAAAGGAAGCAACAGACACAGAGAAATGAACGGTGAAGGAATCATCAAGCGCACGTGGCAAACAATTTTTAAGAGATGAAAATGAATTCACCTGGGAGGAGGGGGATACACAGAAATGATATGAAAGGAAGCTAAAGGGATCCCAGGAGGAAGTCACAAAGGTATCCCGTGAGGCCCCTGGCAAGGAACCATGCATACAGCCCTAATCCATTAATCAACAGCTGGCTGAATCCAATCCTCCTTTCCTCAATGTTTCCCAACTCCTGAGAACAACATCCTAAGCAGCCATGTCCTTGGAATCTCAGCTAACTCAGATCCTAGACATCCAGATCCTTGAGCTCAGAAAACTTGGAATTTAGCAGGGCCAAATCTACTGGGATCTAACCGATACTGTTGACTCCATTTCAGGAAATGACGCACTTTTTGGAAGGAACACAAATCACTGTGAACCTTTTTATGGCTCCTTCTTAGGGCTTAGCAAAAGAAAGCTTCCCTAATACTATAGGAAATTGTCTTATGTTGAAAATAATACTGTGGAAGGGCCTAGCCCAGTCTGGCATGAAGAAAGTATTCAACCCATATGAATCTGCCTCCAATGAAGAATGGTTTCTACCCAAGAGTATGAGTTTATTCCTCGACCACTCATTCTACATTTATTCGTCAATCACAAACTATGTGTCAAGGCACAGTTCTAAGGCTGAGGGTTAGGCTTAGGGCAAGTAAGTTTAAAGAATATAATCCCATCCCATGTACTAGTGGGGACACACGTATACATAAACCATATGCACCATTTATGCTAATTTCACATATAATTGGGCACCCTGTATTTTAGCTGGCTACACTCCTGAAACAGGGCAGCAATGAGATGCACAAAGCACCCCAGCTTGCTCATGTAGCTTCCAAGAATGTAATCTCAGGTGCTCACAGACTCAATTCTACCTGGCCCCTCCTCAGTGAGAAAGTGTGGAGGACAGAGTGACTTTCTCTGTTGAAGTCATTGCCACGGGGTCCATTGAGCAGTTATCACTGTGCATTGTAATTGCAACTTTCTCTCCCTGGCATTTACTCCTCTGGGATCAAAGTCCTTGTCCCAGGACCCTGGTCTTTGCATCTCTGCACCTCTGGACTCCCACAGAGCACTAACAGATGCTCGGCACAGACCAGCTTAGTGAGTAAGTGGACAAAAGCATAAATGGTTGAATTTATGTCAAGGGCAATGCAGAGGCCTTGCTCACAGTCCATAAGGAAAGTTTTGTTGTTGTTTTTGTTGTTGTTGTTGTTTTGTTTTGTTTTGTTTCACAGGTGCATGGGAAATGCTGAGGATACAGAGAAAATTGTGTTACCAGAATCCAAAGACCATAGGGGTGAAGAATGATCTTTTTATTTTAAAATGTTTTATGAAGGTACTCCAACAAAATAAAGGCTTTAAAAAGGGTGATGAAAGGAGAGAAACTGTACCTTGTAAACAATAATAAAGGGGTTCTTGGAAGTCTAGTTCTGAACATAGCAGGTGGAGGGTGAGTCCAAACACTGATTTGACAAATGGGTAATACAATCAAATATGATTCCAGTAGTTAACCACAGTATCAGTAACTGAGGTGTAGGGTGTAAACAAATATCAAATAATTAAGAGCCATTTTATTGTCGATACTGACTGCCATACAATTGAAACAGAAGGAAAATCACACAAATCCACAAAAAAGACAGAGGCAGAGAAGAGCAAGGGACAAGGTGTCTACGATAGAAAGTCACTTTGTGGCATTGACTTCTTTCCATCCAGCTGTAAAGAAGGGGGAAGTCGGTATCTATAGAGCATGTTCAATCAGGCTAAGACTTTTTTTTTTTTAATAAAGGAAAAGAAAAGGAAAAGGAAAAAAAATGTATTGTATTGCAGAGTTTCCCGTGACCACACAATGAGCCAGGACACCAGGCTTCTTTCCTTCCTTGTGACTTCCCTTGCCACCATTCTGTGGCCTCCTGCGTGGATCTGTGGCTCACTCATCATAAGTGTGCTAACAATTCTTTGCAGCTACCGTCAGTGCTCAGACCGGTAGGCAGGAAAAGTCTCTGTCCGGTGAAGCTTCAGAGGGCTGGAGACATCTTTTCCAAAAAACAATTGAAAAGCAACAGTTAGGTTTCAAGAAAGTCCAGGGACAAATTAGTAACAAGTTTCTATTTCTAATATAAATAAGTAACATACTCATGACATGGGATTCTTTCCTAGGGCCACTTGTGATATGCAAATAAGTCATGAGACTGTATGATTAGCATATATTTGCATGTAGCCTCTGCATCAGGTTGCGTTCCATCCATCAAAAGTCAATTTCCTCTTTTTCATCTATACCAAACCCTACGCCCAGGATGTTCAGTGGGGGTAAAAGACAAACACAGGACTATGGAAACATTTGCATGGAAACCCAAGCAAAAATAAGAATATATTGCTTAAACTTTTGCTTATATCTCCTTATAAATGTAAAGGAAATGTCTTAAAATCTATTTATCCTTTTTTTATTTCAAGTGTATGTCCCAAACCAAGCAAAGCCAAGAAAATCAAGAAAAATCAGCTCCTGTGTGACATAACACAGCAGTTGCCAAACATTTTCTATAAAAGTCCAGATGCCTGTGGCACAAAGTCAGCCGTTGTTGATATGCAGTGAATGAGCAGACATGTCCCAATAAAACTTTATTGAGGAAAACAGTGGGCAGGATGGGACCACAGGCCTGGTTTGCCAATCCCTGCAGACAGGAGCCCCTGATGTTCTAAACCAAGATGCTCTCCTGCCACCTGCTGGCAGGGGGTTGCCAGAACCAGAGGAATTCAGGCTGCTAGAGGGAGCTCTCAAGAGCAAAATCTGCCGTGGTGTGTGATAACCAACGCAGGAGGCCAGCAAGCACAGGGCATAGTGAGGCAGGGCTGGGGCCAAGGCAGCTCGTCTGCCCATCTACACGCTCAAAGCAGTGTTGTTTAAGCACTGAACCAAGAAAGCAGGTTTATGGTGGCCTGTGGCCCTCAAGCCCTCCATTGTTATTTTATGTTATCACAAACAGCCCTGACTGCTGTCAGACCTCAGTACGGGCACGCTCCAATCTTCCCACCAGAAGCATGAGGTAGGCAGGGAAAGACAGGACCTCTGACTCATTTTCCACTTCTCTAGAATGAGGAGGAACATCTGGTTTGTTCTACAGGCAGGACTACCAGGATCAAAGAAACCACAAGGGACTTCATGAGCTTTAAAGTCCTACTTAAGGGATTCTGAGCACAACAGCAAAACAAAGGGAGACACAAAGGAAACCACAGGTTCAGATATGAGCAAGCCTCAGATCTGAACCAAGAGCAAATGACGTAGCCAGCCGTACAGTCACTGTGCCCATTAACAGTGACCCACCTCACAGCACCCTACGTGACCAGAACTTACTGCTATCTGGAACACATTCTATTCTCTTCCCAGAACACACACACACACACACGCACACACACACTATATTAATGGGAGAGAGTACTAGAAGTCAACAAGCAGGGGTGAACTATTCCAGTTTGATAATGTCCTGGGGGAGCAGCCAGCAAAGAGTGTCAATGCCAAATTCACATCTTGGGTCAAGTGCAAAGCCCTTGGCTGCACCTTTAGCGGAGAGAGTAACAGGCAGCATCCACTTGGGGGGCAAGTCAAAAGGAAAACACTTAACAGCTTCCAGCATAATGGCTAACAATCTTCCTGGCTTGGTGTGAAAGCTGTGGTTAGCTTGAGGACAGGAGATGAACTGATGGACTCTCCTCCCCTGCCCACACTGGCAGGTCACACAGGGTCACAAGCTGGTACTGGCCTGAAGGCCACATCTGGCCCAGGACTTCTCCAGCCTCCACAGACCCAGACTCCCACAAAAGTGAAACTGCTGCCAATATTTAAATGACTGCAGACCCCCCATGAAGCTGACAATTTCCAGGTTGTCTTGGAAAACTGGAAGGCAGTATTGGCCCTGCATTCTACCCAGACAGAGCAGGACCGACTACAGGGGGCTGCAGACTGCAGCCTGTGCCCTTGCCAGCAGCACCAGGGGCCTGCCTCCCCCTCCTGCCCCATCCCACTCTCTGTCTTGCCTGGACTCAGCACGTGCCTATGAGAGCTTGGCTTACTGCCGCCCTTTCCCATGGGCTCAGGTCCTATCCTACAGTTAAGAGACATACGTGAGAGTGTTCGAATTCATATTCATAAAACTGCACTAACTTCTGCAAAGCAGCCACTTGCTCCAAAAATCTATCATCGTCAAAATAAATATGTAATTGGGCTAGACCCAATGCTTTGGAGATATTGAGATCCCAGGGTGCATGACTTCCAATCCAGGCAGAATTTTCTCCCACTAGTAAGATCATGCCATGAAAATTAGCCCTGGACTAGGAACACCAGTGTTCCAATGCCAACCTTCGACCCATGCGCCTCATGAACTTGAGCAAGTACTTGACCTCCACAGGTCTGCATCTCTTCATTCACTGAAATGGAGAGGACAGTCATGCCTTGCCAATGCCAGAGAAGCAAATACGGCCACGTGAAAGATGCCGTTGGAGAGACACACATGTGGCGCCACTCTTTGGTTTCCTATCTGATACATGACAGAGATGCCTATTTCTTCTTGGTTTAGTTTTGAAACAGGTGATGCTGTCTCCCAAGACAACTGCAGAGGAAGGGTTCTGAAGTTACAGGGGCACTGGAGTGTCGTGGCCTAAGGGAAATGATCCTAGGTGGTGAGTGGGAGAAGGTGGTGAGGGTGTGGGAAAGGAGCCCTGCGCTACAGCTGGATACTCCCTGCCTATGTGCAGTGGCCTCAGGCTGCTCTCCTGCGTCCTTTTGTTCTCTATCCATCCCTTACCTTAGGAAATAAAGCTGACAGAGCCATGCTCAGGACCCTCCTGAGCTTCCCCTCTCAGCACAAGCAGCCATCACCCCAGCTGTCTCCTCATGCCCTTTAGGCACCCGCCACACTGTTTCTCCTCTGCTTTTTGAACACTCCCCAGCTCATTTCTGCTTCAGGACTTTTGCATTTACTATTCTCTCCATGGAGAAGGCTTTTCCCTGGCTGTCTCTTCTACACGTAAGGTCTTGGCATAAGTGCTGGGCTTTCAATAGATACCCAACGGAAAGCCTTGTCATTGTCTCCCCGCAAACCAACAACTTGGATTCCCTTTCTATGAATGTTCTCTATAAAGAGCATAATTTTTTTCTTTATCACTATTATATGTATCATATCAGAAACTGAATGTTGGCTTAAGTTGCCTGTGACTCTCCTTTGATTAGAAGGCTCAGGAGAGGAGCAATGCACCTGGCTAGCAGCCCTGCCCACATGTGCCATCTAGCACAGTACACAGCATGAAGGAGATGCCACTAAACCTCTACCCTACAAGTGGGTGAGTGGATGGACTGAAGAACAGAGGCAAAAACCTTAAACCTTAACTCCTGCTAGACAGGTGAACCTGGGCATATCGTTAGCCCTTCAGATTCTCAGTTTCTTGGTAGTAAGTGAGAATCAATTACTCTCCCAGGAAGCTGTTTTGAGATCTAAATAAGATCACCTGTTTTAGGTGCCTGTCCAAAGCCCCATGCACAATGGCTCCTCAGAAAGAACAGCTTTTTAAGAGACACTATCTGGGGCTGGCCTTCCTAAGGGAGAATCTGGGATTTCAGCCCTTCACAGGCAGTATACTAACATGTTGTTTAGATTAAAAGGGGGGGAAAAAGATGAAAATAGACTTTGTGTTCAAATAAATTTGTAGAGCTTCAGTTTAAACAAAATTAAACAGATTGTCTACTTGCAGGATATCTCAGAGGCTTGAAAAGACCTTTTTGTATTCAGAATTTCCAAGAGGATAATTTAACATTTAGCATTTCCCCCCAAAATTCGACCACAGTACTTTTCTTTGGTGAGTGGGAGGGGAGCTGCCTCCCAGGGTCAGCCCTGAACAGAGCACATTTGGAAAACTACTCCTGTTTTACCTAATGCATTTCTAAAAGAATCCTGTGGACAAGGAATTCAACAAAAATTGGCCGAATGCTTCTCTCTCATAAATTTCTCCCAATTTCTATGCTAAAGGTCCTTAATATATTGATTTTTGTATCTGCCTACCACAGAAGAGAATTTTTATCTAAAAATTGTAAAGTGGAATGGGAGAGAAAAGGAAGGCAAATTAGATGTCTTCATGTATGTGGCACAGGTGGGAACCTCTCCCCACCAGAGTAAGAAACAGACCAGCAGGTGGCACTCGAGGACTAAATTTGAAAAGGACATTACTTTTTTTCTCAAAAAAAAATTCTCCTGTAAGGGTCTGTATGATTTCTAAATATTGGCCTCCAGCTGTCAAGAAACATCAACTTGAAATCCAAAAGGGTAGGTGACTTGGGCACAGGAATTGAAACCCACAAACATGAGCAAAATAAGAAAATTATGTCTTCATCGTGATACACAGGGCCACCATCATTAATGTCTCCTGATTTAATTTCTTAAGGGGAAAGGTAGAGAAGGAGAAAAAAAGGAAGGGAGGTGGTACAGATACAAACATACACAAACTTTCTCATTTACTTGTCACGTAAGTGACTGACCACCCTTTGACCAACAGGATAATTTAAGATAGGTTGTGAACAGCTCTTAAAACGTCAATAATTATTATTTATCTTACTGCCTATTAGAAAAGCATAACCAGTGGTTATAACAGTGTAAAGTACACTTTTTAAAAATATGTAAATTATTTAAATAAGAAGAGACAGAATAAAATTTAAGTAATAGTCTCAGTGGTACGTATATGACAAAATTATGATGATGGAAATTGAATCTTACAAAACCTTCTGAAATTGCCATAATTGGACCCAATCCCCCTCTGCAGATTGGTCCTATTTGTCATTTACATATCAATTCAGCCATCACTGAGCCACTCAGGATCAACTTCTTCTGCACCTCTACATGCATGCTCACTGCTAGTAACCGGAGTGTGGAGTCTTTTAAAGTCAGAAATATAGATATCCTCTTTGCCTCCTTCACATTACAGCATCTTTCAGCAAATGCTATGGGGGGCCAGGGGGTGTGTGTGGCTGGTCTATGCAAAGCCCAGGGGATATGATGGCAAGGATAAAAGTAGACCAACCCTCCTGCCTTCCTGGGTGTCTCTGCATAAGCCAAGTGATCACTTGATGGAACATGAAATGCAAACTGTGATGAGGGCATCACCTCCATCTCAGGATGCCCATAATCAGAATCAGAGGCTGCACAGTAGTGATAGTAGAGGGGCACTTGCAGCAAGACTGGAGATGAGGAAGAGTTAACTAGGGCAGGGGGAGGAAAGGCTGTCCAGTTTTTAGTGTTCTTTTTACTTCAAAATATAATTTAAAAATCACAATTAGAAGGATAAAGAAAAGCTTAAGTAGAAGGTTTAATTGTTCTGTTGTCCTCCCAATGCATGGGTCTGTACCCGGCTTCAGAGGCCCCTTTTCTGGGAGAGAGCTCATTAGGATTTGCTCCAGTCGTGCAGCTATGGCTCCCTCCAGACTTCCTCCAGGGGTCTGCAGCACTCAGGAGAAGCACCTGGAGGGCTTGCTCAAGCAGAGCTGGCTGAGCCCGGGCTCAGAGCTCCTGACTCAGCAGGTCTGGGGGCGCTGACAGTTGGCATTTCTAGTAAGTTCCTGACCAACACTAATGCTGTCCTTCATCAGTCTTATTTCTCAGAGCCTAGCCCCCAGCCTTGCCGGGCTCTGTGGGATGGGTTCAAAGGGAGGACTGCTCAGCCACACCCCACAACTTGAGATCTAGGATCTCTGAGGCTAAGGGCCCAGGAGCCTGAGAGATACAGCTACCGCGGAAAGACGAGTCCCCCCATCCCCGTCTCCAGGCCCCAATGGGTGGTGCCGTCCCCAACGGGTCTCCTAGTGTGGCTCACCAGGGGTGCCTGGCTGGGCCCCCCCCAAGCTGCCGCCTGTCCGCCCACATCGCCCCGCTTACCCTGCAGGCGGTAGAGCTGGCCCGTGCTGCGCTGCCGCGTGATGTGCTGCCAGTAGGCGCTGCGCGGCAGGGGCACCATGGTGCTCAGAGAGGAGGCCCGCTCGCTCATCTTCACCTGGAGCTGTGGGCAGAGGAGAGAGCGGTGTGTCAGCAGTGCCAAGGCGAAAGGACTGACCATGGGAGGAAGCAGGAGAGCCAGGAGCCGGTGGGCCATGGAGCCAGCCCCTCGGTGGATCGGGGGTTTCCCTGGCCGTGGTGGACAGCTATGTCCTTGCTTGCCCAGATGCACCTGCCCTTCACCCTGCTGGCAACAGAGATGCTCTGCTGGGGACCTTCCCTCCAATTCAGCTCCGTCCTGGTGGGCTGCGCTGGCCACAATTCCAGGACCAGGCCAATAACCCATGTCAGGCCAGCAAGACGGAATCCTCCAAGGCATTAATGAGAACTCTTATGGAGAAGACATAAGAGTCTCAGCAGAGGGGAGCCAATGGTTTATGTCCATTTTGTCCACTGTTCCCTCCCAAGCGTGGGGAGGTTTCCTGGCCCATTGTGGGTGAGCCAGAAATTCGTGCTGAATGGGTAGGAAAGGGCCAGAGTGCAGCCTGTCTTGGAACAATGATGGGAGAAAGTGAGTGAGTGAAAACCACTAGGGAGACAGCCACACCCCAGGGAGACCCGGGTCCATGGAGCCAGAGGCCATCCCAGACCTCCTACCACGTGGCCCTTACTCCCTTTCAGTTCAATCTGCCTTGACCTGGCTGCCCAACCTCTAGCATCAGGAAAAAACCTTGCACGCTTGACCAGGTTCCTTGTCTCTGCTGGTTCACTGTTCAGAAAGGGAAGAAAAGAGAGGATGGACTTCCAGGAGTAGCCAGTGGCCACACCACATCAGGGGAGGTGACCCCACAGGGAGGGAGGTGTCTGAGAGAAGGTGGCCTAGTGGGATAGGTAAAAAAGGGACAGTCATGGGGACAGGCATACGAGAAGAATGGGCATGGGATAGGAAGCAGCTTGGGGTCCCCTCTCCCCAGATCCCCAGTCCTAGACAAGCCATGACACAGTCAATCATGCCACTGCACAGGAAGTGGTTTTTTCACAAAGTTGGATTTCCTGGATGCCCTCGGTCTTAAAAAAAAGATTCCCACCCAGACACACAGGTTTGTGTGGGATGTTCACTAAGGCATGGTTTTCAATCAGTGGCAACAAGTGGTAACCTAAATGCCCCTCAGTCAAGACCTGGGGAATTGCCAGTCCACAATGATGGTTGGCAACTGTTTTACCTGGAGACATAAGATTTACACTGAGGAGAAACACACATATTTTTCCCCGTGAAGGAAGCACGATGAGCACAGACCAACCGTCACACCTGGTCAATGCCATTGCAGCTGCTCCTGTGAAGGGCATTGACACTAAACACCTTCCCAGGGGGTATAGGAGAGCTGGGTACAGTGCATCTGCTTCACCTCGCTGAGCACAGACAGGCATGGGAGAAAGAAGAGGCGACACAGCAGCAATCAATGCCCATTTAAGGTTTTGTTTTCAAAGAAAAGTGCCCCTCTCTACCTGCTTTCAGCAATGGAGGGTTATGTCCACCCTGTAAAGCCAGGATGACCCGAGGCTCATGTTCTGGAGACTCGCACCGGGTCAAGGAAACTCAACTCAAATAAAGATAATAATCATCACTTAAAAGATGATTTTGTTGCTACGTGTTGCATATAGTAAGTTTGCTGGACAATATTCCTGGTCCCATCTTAATATCAATTACCAAAATGTGTCCCTAAGTAGAACTGAAACGCACTCAGTCTCATGGGATACCCTTTCCTAAATATGCACTCTTAAATCAAAAGGCACAAAAGCTAAGTACTAAGCGAGTAGAAAAGTTCAGCAGCTCCTTCTGAATATGTAAAAATCTCCAAAAAAAGAAAAAAGAAGCAACAGTTTTTTGGTGACATCTGGTAACGTTCCACCTCATTTACATGGATTTTAAGAAATATGGTGGGGGGAGGAACTGAATTTAGAGATTCTGACTATTTGATTTCCTAAATATAAAAAGATTAAATTTAATGTAATAACATTCTTAATATAAGGCTAACACTTGGGGAATAGCAGTCACTTCAAATTATTCACTTCTTACTGCAAAACCATTTAGGTGTCCCTGCATGATGGGACTGTATTTTTAGAAACCCTCCTTAAGAGCAAGAATGAGATGGCACCCACACCCTGTTTTATAGAGAACAGTGCAAAGCCTGACTCCCTGGTTCCCCCTCAACCTTTTCAAAGAATATCTAATTTTATAAAAGGAGCATTTTAATTGTCCTCAGAGGAAAAAATGACAAGAAAAGCCTTCCCTTCCAACACTGCAAATATCTCTGAATAATTCTCTAAGCCTGAGAAGGCTCAGGGTGTCACTTGGTGTCAGTCTAGCAGGGAAGTTCCCCGTGTTCCTGAATGCTCACGTCACTCAAACTAGCGAAGAGGGAATGAACGGCACTCATGGTCATCACGGGTGAAAAACCGATCCAGCACCCATTTGAGGAAGAGTCAACACAGGGCAACCTGGAGTATCTGGAAAGAACCGTGACCTTCCTCCTTTAGAAAAACACACACACACACACACACACACACACACACGCTTTCAAATAGTTTGGCTTTTTTTTTTTTTAACAATAGGCATAATACTTTCATAATTAAAAAATAATAAAAATTACCCTGAACCATAAAAATATAGGGGTTTCTATGCCACTATGTGACAATGACATTCCTGAAACATCTCTCATTCACATAATTGTGGGGGAAGTCAGGCTATGGGAAGGCCACTCAAAATGTGAGACCATTTACAGCCAGAGTCACTGTTCCTCTGGAGCATAGCTTGGACAGCCCAGGGAGGCTGCAGGGGATGTTGGTTGAAAATACTGGCTGAAGGAGGCCTGGGTGGTGGAGGAGGAGGGAGGCCTCGTCTGAAAAGGTGAGCGCTGTGGACTGTGGGCACGTGGGCTAGATGGTGCAGGCCATGGAGCATGCTTTGTTAGTTTCCCATCTTCAGCAGCTGCCGCTGGAAAGGCCCTGTCCAGGAGGCAGTTGATGGAGGGCATTTCCCTGTCCAGATTAAGGTGACAGTGGCACGGATGTTAATATGGGCTTCCCTTGCCCAGGAAAAGATCCCGAGGAATCAGCACATCTTCAGCATTACAGCACATCTTTCCCCAATTCATCAACTGTGCTAAGCTCCATGCAGATACAGACACGGTGCTGCACTGGAACAAACTACACACGACAACTGCCCCACACTCCGGCCCCACATATTCCAGCAAACACATGCTCTCAAAATGTATTTTAAAAAAAGGTAAAAATCATAAATCATCCATTTTCTTTCCTCTGAAGGTCAACCGAACAGTTTCATGAAACACTGGAGTTGGAAGAATTTGGGGCGCAAACAGGCCAGTCTCTTGAGTTAATCAGCCAACAAACCAAGTATCTCCTGTCAGACAGCCCAGATCCAGCAACCCCTCCACTCCTGTGCCTCCCCTGGCCTACACCACGCCATTCAGCTGCTCCAACCTCCAAGGGGCACTTTGGCTCTGAAGCCTGAGAGCACCCTCCTCTTTTCACTTCTCACCAAGACTCAGCAATCACCTCCCTAGATAGTTCCCTCAGACTCCTCCTCCTCCCACAAGGGGATCAGGTGCTCCCAGCAGCTACCTCATAGCCCTGTGCTTATTCCAATCATTTCTCCATTGTGCGACAGCCACTAAACTAGCCCACCTCCTTCTGCAGACCTGGAACTCTAGGAGAGCTGAGATCAACAGCTTTTATCTCTGGGGCTCAGCACTGACCCGGGCCTTCAGAGGCTAAATGAATGTGTGGTGGATGGATGAAAGAATGCAGAAACCCAGCCTTTGCCCAACCAAGTAGCAGGAAACCGTTCTCATCCCAACAAATGACATGTCTTCTTAGCCCAACGCTGAATTCATGCAGAAACTTCAAGTCCAGGTTAAATCAGCATGGTTGTCTGTGGCTGGCTGTGGAAGACACAGTAAGGACTTCACCTCGCTCTCTGCTTTGTCATTCAAGTGTGAGCTGAAGCGCTTGAGGAAAGATCTGCTTGAGTGTAAGTATAATTGTTTAGGACAGACCAGTAGCAGGAGAGTTCAGTTCTACATGCTCAGCTGTGCCATCAGCAGCATGAGCTCAAGGTGCCACCAGGGAGGAGAGACAGGCTTCATGAAGTCAAACAAGTGCCCCTTGTCCTTCAAGAGTGAGCTTTCCCCTACACAGACCGGATGCCTGTAGGTCTCTTCCTAGCCCAGCCTGAGTCCTGGTGCTGCCAATCAGTCTGGGCTACCAACTGGGTAGCACCATGCTGCCGGGGGAGAGAAGAGACCATGGACCAGGAGACCCCTGTCACAATTTCAATGCTGCTCCATATCAGCTCTTTGGTACTATAAGTCTCTTTCCTTATAAAACTAAGAGACAGATAATAACACTGAAAACAAATTTAGAAAAATTATTAGATTGTTATAAAAAAAAGGGAATTTGACACACAGTACCTGTGTGAACCTAAAATAATTGCATCACGTGAAAGAAGCCTGTCACAAAGACTGCATATTGAAGTATTCCACTTGCAAGATTTGTCCAGAACAGGCCATTCCCTAGGAAAAGAAAGCAGATTGGGGGTGGCTTCGGTCTAGGAGCTAACAGCTAAAGATGATGATGAAAACGTCCTGGAATAGATAGTGTCAATGGCTTCACAAACCCGAATATATTAAAACTATTAAATTTGCAGCCTCAAAGGGTCCATGTGCATAGCAGGGTACATATGGCATGTTTATATCTCAGTGAAGCTGTCACCCAAGATAGAAAATCAGATTGTATGTGTGACGTACATTGTTTTAAAAGCACTATGCGGTGAACTAGCAGGTATACTTCCAGTCAGGCAGTCTCAGAGGAAGTGACATTTAAACGAAGACCTGTGTGACAATAGCTGAAGCATGGCATTTATCATCATTGTCGACAGCAGTCAGATCCTTTTAAAAACTTCCCAACACTCACAGTGAAGAGGGCGAATGTCCAGGGCCTGTCCTCATAATGAGAACATCACATGGACCTTGCTGGGAGAGAAAA